AATTGATGCTAAGTGTGTGCTTTAGCATAGTGACCCTCCTTGTCTCACCCTCCCCAGTGCTGGGATTTCAGGCCTGTAGGGTTCCCAGGCCGCCACGAGGAAGCAAACTCAGGTCCTTGCGCTTGCCAGGCAAGCACTTAGACCGCTGAGCTATCTGCCAAGCCCAATTTTTTAAGTTTTGAAAACAAATTCTCACTAAGTTGTCCAGACAGGACTCCAACTCGTGGTCCTCCTTATCTCAGCCTCCCACGGAGCACAGGCGACAGATGTGTGTCTTCATGCCTGCCCTTGGGAAACGCGTAGTTATTCTGCAGAGCTGGGATTGAACTTGCCGGGCAAGTGCTTATTCAGCTGCACGCAGCCATTCTCAGCAAAGCACTTGCTGGGCCTGAAGATGGCTCTGTGCTCAGGCCCTCCCCGAGGCGCGGGTCCCTCCCAGCCTCTGTCCCTCAGATTATGACACGGTGCACATCTGGCATCCCAGCACTCAGGAGGTTGAGGCAGGAGGACTGGCATTAGTTCAAGGCCAGCCTAAACTATACATCAAGACCTTATCTCTAAATAAATTAACAGAAGAAAATCTGACCCTATAGAGTAGAGGAAAAACTTCAAATGTGCAGGGTCCCGAGTTTAATTCCTGGTACCACAAAAAAATAAATAAACAGAGCAGGGGCTGGGATTCTCTGAGCCACGTGTCCCCAAACAGCTCCTGGACTTGGTCCCTGCTCACATCTCAGCCCTATGACCCTTGCCAGACAGGGCCCATGTGGTGGCTTGTTCAGTACCACCCAGCCCCAGCTGTGAGGGGCACCTTTCTCTGCCCTGTCCCCACGCCCAATTCACTGGCACAGGACACTGCATTGCCAGGGACTCCAGCAGGGGGCCATGCCACCCTGCTTCAGCTCTGCCGGTGCCAAGAGCACTCAGAGCCGGGCACAGGCATGGGCAGAAGGACAGGCAGGACTTAGGTTATTTGGGGGGTGCTGGGGATCGAACCCAGAGCCTTTGTACTAAGCTACATCTGCAGCCTTTTTAAAGTTCTAGGTTCAGTGTGGTGGTGCACACCTGTAATCCCAGCACTGAGGAGGCTGAGGCAGAAGGATTGCTGCAAAATCAAGACCAGCCTGGGCTACAAAGTGAGCTCAAGTCCAACATGAACTGAACAGTGAGACCCTGTCTCAAAAATAAATAAATAGGCCGGGGAGATAGCTCAGTAGAATAAGCACTTGCCTGGCAAACGCAGGGTCCTGAGTTCAATCCCTGGTACCACAAAAAAATAAAAAATAAATAAAATTCTAAAATCTTGAGACAGGGTCACACCAAGTTTTATGCTGCCCAGGCTGGGCTCCAATTCACGACCCTCCTGCCTCAGCTTCCCCACATGCACTGCTGTGCCGGGCCTGGGTGTGGGTTTTCAAGCTTCACGTTGGTTTTCTTTGCAAGAGTCTTATCAACCACAGGCACTTCTATCAGGGACAAGAAGCAGGTGTGACACGGCCACTCTCTCCCAACCTGGACCCTATCAGGGCTCTTAATGCCCTGTCACTGCAGCCCCCAGGGACAAGGCCAGCCTCACAGCACCAGGAAGAGCCACAGCTCCGAGGAGTGTGTAAGGCTCTTGCACACCCATCAGCCTCTGTCCCCTCTTGCAGGTTCTCAGGTCTGCCCAGCCACGGGCCAAAGTCATCTCACAGATGAGTCCAGCCCAAGGTCCCTGCCCCCTCGCCCCACCCGTGCTGTCACTGTCCCCACCAGTGTTCAAACTCCAAGTCCTTCCAGCCACTTTTGATGACCCCATGCCCGAGCTGTGTCCATCTCTGGGTTCCCAAGGGCTGTTCCCTGGAGGCATCATCCACGTTGCTGTGACAGCCTCTGTGGTCCCCTGAGCGTGGCCTTTCTCTACTGAGTCCCGGGGGATGTGCTGAACACCCTGTACCCAGCTTCCTGCCCAGCCTGTGAGTGGCAGTGGGCTCTGGGCGCACCCCAGCGGGCACAGAGCCTCTGATGGCATCACGGGAGACAGCAAGGGCTCCCTCCCACCTCCTGCTGCCTCACTGGGGGCCCTGGAGTAAGAGGGCAGGGGCAGCTCCACCTCCATCTTCACCCACACAACTCCCAGCCTCGCCCTGAAGCCCCAGAAAGAGGCAGATGTAGGCAGGGACAACCCTTCCTACTTCACAGGTGGAGAAACTGAGGCAAAGACACAAGGCAATCCTCCCCATCATTTTGGTTTTGTGAGCTGGCCTCAAACTTGTGGGGACCCTCTTGCCTCAGCCTCTCCAGTGCTGGACTTAAAGGCATGCATCACCACACCTGGCTTCTCTTCAAGGCTTCATAGTGTGCACAAGGGTTATCCTGTGATCTGGCCACGCTGGGCTGGTGGCCAACTGACCCCAGACCTCCTGTACTGAGTCTGGTTTGTAACCACAGGGGATCCCTGCTTGGGGGGAGCACAAAGAAGCCTGAGTCCTGAAGGTGAGGACAGACTCTGTGGCCTGGTGGCCTCAAGGTCATTTGCAAGGCTCTAAAAATTCAGCTCTCAGCAGCTGAGGCAGGGCCCAAGTTCCAGCCCAGAAGTACTTACCTTGGCCATATCTCAAAATAAACAATAAATGAACAAGGGCTGGGGCGCGGCTCAGCATGAAGGCCGCGGGGGCAACCCGCCCCAAGGAAGGGGGCAGAGCTGGCCTTAGGTCTCCTCACGGCCGAGGGGAGTCCTTATTCCGGGCCTCGATTGCCGGGCTCGCTCCACCAGGGGGCGCCGTAAACCCGCATCCAGTGGTTGCTGCTCCGGCGGGTCTGCGCTGCGGAGCTCAAGCCCCTGCTCGGGGACACGAACGTCCCGCCCTGGGGACAGAGCCATGCTGGCCTGGCTGGTCGGGGCCGGGCGCTGAGAAGCCCACTGAGAGTCCCATGTGGCCGAGGCTGCCTTGGCCAGTGGTCACAGCCAGACGTGGCCCCAGCGGGCCGTCCGGACTGACCCCTCCGCTCCCCTTCTTGAGACAGGGTTTCACTGTGCAGTTCAGGCTGGTCCTGGACTCACCAGGTAGCCCAGCCTGGACTCAGACTCAGCAGTCCTGCCTTGGCTTCCTGAGATGTGCGCCACCACACCCAGCTCTGAGTCGGGGTGTTGTTGTTTGTTTTTAATGTATTTAGTACAGGGTCTCACTGCACACGTGGAACACCTAGCGATTCTCCTATTTTCAACCTCCCAACTGCTGGGATTTCAGGCACGCACCAGCACAGCCAGCCTCAACCGCCGGCTCAGCCCGCCCGGGCTGTGCCACACCTGCGCGGCACACCTGCACGGCACACCTGCACGGCACACTGGGGATTGAACCCAGGCACACCAGCTTTTTTTTTTTTTTTTAATTTATTTTTTTTAACATTTATTTAATTTATTGTGTGTGTGTGTGTGTGTGTGTGTGTGTGTGTGTGTGTGGCCAGCTCAGCCCACCAGGGGGCGGGGCTGGCTGGCATGTGGTGCTGGAGGATCGAACCGCGGTCCCTGTGCTTTGCCAAGCTTGTTCCAAGTAGGTGCTTTAGACCACTGAGCCATCTCTCCAGCCCCCACACCAGCTTTAATCTGCTAAACTATCCAACTGGTTTTATGACGGCCTCAAGATGCCTTCAGGGCATTTCTGGTTTGGCGCCAGTGTCTGGGTTCGAACCAGAGCACCTGGGCCTGACTGCTTTGTTTAAACAGGCACTTAAACAACTGAGCTAATGGGCAGGCCCCCTACATATGTTTTTTTTTTGTTTGTTGGTTTTGTTTTTTTTTGCGGAACCAGGGATTGAACTCAGGCCCTTGCACTTACCAGGCAAGCACTTATTCTACTGAGCTATCTCCCCGGCCCTACATTTGTTTTTAAATCTTCAAAACAAAGACAGCTTTCCACATTCCTGGGCCTAGTGTGACAGGCATTTAAGGAGGGTCCCCACCACCACCACCAAGGCTGGACTAGAAAAACTGCAGAGAAGCAGTGAGGACAGGGTGAGGGTGCCCCACGGTCCAACTTCAGCTGTAAGCAGCTGGCTGCTGGTTCTTTCCAGCTGGAGAGGAGTTGCAAACCTTGGGGTTCCCCCACCCCAGACACTGCAAAGGGGCTGCCTGAGCTAAGGACTCCCATGAATCTTCCTGAAACCTGCCACACCAACCCATCCACTCTCTTCTATTCTGGTGACAGTCCTGCCTCACCTCACTGGGATCCAAAGATAAAGCTATAGCCAAAGGTGGCGGTACACACCTGTAATCCCAGCACTCAGGAGGCTGAGGCAGGAGGCCCACAGCAAGTTCAAGACCTGCCTGAACTGCACAGCAAGACCCTGTCTCAAAAACAAACCCACAGGGGCTGGTGAGATGGCTCAGTGGTCTAAAGCACCAACTTAGAACAAGCTTAGCAAAGCACAGGGACTGCGGTTCAATCCCCCAGCACCTGAGCTGGCCCCCCCACACACATATAAATAAATAAATTAATTAAAAAAAAAAAACCCACAAACAAACCCAAACAGTAAGGATCAGCCTCGGTGGGCGTGGCTTCGGCGCCAAAGCTGTAAGCCCAGGCTGGGGAAATTGCTCAGCGGTCTAAGCGCCTGCCTGCGAAACACAAGAATCCAGGTTTGATCCCCGGTACCGCACACCGTGCCAGCCCCGAACCCCAGGCGCGCTGTGCTGGCTACCAAAACCAAGCATGGTTGGTAATCTTGTAATCGCACATTTGTAATCCCAGAACTGGGTCTGGGGAGGCTGAGACAGGAGGTTCACTCCGAGTTTGAACTGCGTAGCCAGATCCTGTACAAAAAACAATCAAAAAGAAAACCTGTAAGCCCAAGACCAGCCTGGGTTATTCAGCAAGGCCATCTCCAAACAAAGAAATTTGGCCTTGGCCTGGAATTTGGATTTCTCCCCAGAGCTCCAAGGGGCTGCAGTACCCTACGTGGTACTGCCCAATTGTGCTGGGCATGTGTTCGGTGGTAAAGCGCGTCTGGGATGCAGAGGGCCGCGCTCCTGCAGCCTCCACAACCCTCACCCTGCCCCCTGACCTTTCCGTCAGCCTGCTCATCCGAGGGGGGACGGGGTCAAGGGCGGCTGAGGCCAGGGGCAGGGTGACCCTCAGGGAGAAAGCGGCCCAGGACAACAGGCTGTCCCTGACGTGCCCTCCAGATGGCCAAAACCATCTGTGGAACCCGCATGGCCCGGGATGGCGCCCCGTGTGCAGGTGAGGACCCACGTGCAGTGAGAGTCCCACAGCAATCCTAGTGGAGGTCTCTGCTGCACATCCGGTGCGGGCCATTCCAGGGCGCTGGGAGGATGAGACAGGCGGATCTCAGGTTCAAGCCCAGCCTGGGCATGTGCCACCGCTTCTCTTGGGTGTTTCAGGGACTGATTCCATCTGTAAGATGGAAAGTGAAGACCCCTCTTCAAGCCCGCGCGGGTTCTGCGTTCGTTGCACAGCCCTCGCGCCCATGCGACGGGGGGGGCGTGGCCTCACAGACGCCGGCCCACAACGCGGGGCAGCGTGCGGTCGGCCGGCGCACTGCGTGATGACGTCACCACGGAGTTCGTCTTAAAGGCGCAGGCAGCGGCCCGCATGTCACTGCAAATGGGCCTCGCTGCGCAAGAGTGTTGAAAGCAGTGGAGCCCGGGAGAGACCCGGGTCCCGGGACCGGGGACCCGAGGCGTCGGGCAAGCCTGCCGGTCATCCGGGTGTCCCGATCGCTCCTAGCCCGGAGTGCCGGTTCCGCGTTCTGTAGAATGGGGGCGCCCGTCTCAGGAGCAGCCTCCTTGAGGAGGAAGTGATATCGCGACAGCATCGGCCCTGCCGTGCAGAAAACTCCCGCGGACCTGGAACCCGGTCTGGCCTCCGAGCGCGCGGGGCTGGGGGGTGGCGGGCTCCGCGCGTGACCGGCCGGCCTGAGGGCGGGGCCTGCCGAGCTCCGAGGCCGCCTGCGCTGGCCGCGCACCGGACGGCGAGATGGGACCGCCGTGTTAGAGCCGCCGGATCCGGTGGGCCGGGGCTCGGGGCGCGGGCTCGGGAACCCGAGGCGGGCGGCCTTGGTCGTGGCGGGCCAGGCGGTCGCCTGCCCCCGTCTGGTCGCCCGTCCCCTGTGTCGCGCCAGGTGGACTGCGCCGCGGGGCAGAGTCCGGGCTAGGGACCGAGGCGGCGGCCGCGCAGGCTGTGGCCCTCGTCGCCGCCCGCACGCGCACCTGCCACCCCGGTGCTGGGCACTCGGCGTTGGCCGCGGGGCTCTCCTCCCGGAGTGACCTTGGGCCTCAGTGCCGAGCGGTGCCTTCCGCCGCCCAGCCCTGGTGACGGGGGTTCGCTCCGCAGGGCTGCGGTAGGACATGGCTGAGCGTGACCCGCGGGGCGTCAGCCCCATGCAGCATATGGTGGCCTCGGGCGCGGGGGCCGTGGTCACTTCTCTTTTCAGTAAGAACCGGGACTGGGTGGGCGGTGGTTGGGGTCCCGAGGCAGGGGCAGCTTGGCCGGGGTCCTGTTAGGGGCCTCAGCTCTTTGTCTCCTCAGTGACGCCCCTGGACGTGGTCAAGGTCCGCCTGCAGGCCCAGCGCCCTTCAGCGGCTGGCGGTGAGTTCCTTAGGCTGGCTCCCGGGTCCACGTCTTGCACCGGGCGAGTGTGTGTATGTGTGTGTTGGGGGATGCCCTTTGGTGACTCGGGGCTTTCTTGTGTTCCAGAGCTGCCGCGTTCCTCCCGACTCTGGAGTGTGTCCTATACCAAATGTGAGTACCCGCACAGGGCACCTGCAGCGTTCTGGACCCTTGGAAACTCCATGGCGCCCTCCTGACTCCCACCTCCACCCACCCACAGGGAAGTGCCTACTGTACTGCAACAGCGTGCTGGAGCCACTCTACCTGTGCCCCAATGGTGCCCGCTGTGCCCCCTGGTTCCAGGATCCTACCCGCTTCAACGGCACCATGGTGAGGGCAGCAGGAAACCCTAAGGACTCTGTCTGGGTGGCTGTAGACCAGGCACACGCTGGGCTCAGGAAGGACTCCCTGGGGTTTCTAGTTTGCCTGAGGTGCTGGGGAGGGAGCCAGGTCTCCCTTGTGCTAGCTGCCCTCTGCACTTGAGGTTCAGCCGCAGCCTTGCCTGAGATTTTGCAGGCTAAATAGGAGTCCCTTGGGGCTGTTGAGGGAGCAGCCAGCGAGATAGCTTCTGAGGGCATCGGGTGAGCAAGCCCCAACCAGCCATCCATAGCCTTGCTCCTGTCCCTGTCCCCTTGCCAGGATGCCTTTGTGAAGATCGTGAGGCATGAGGGCACTCGCGCCCTGTGGAGCGGCCTCCCAGCCACCTTGTGAGTCCCCAGCCTGCTGTCCCTACCGTGTAGGCCAGCTGGGAGGTAAGGGGCACACTGGAAGGTGTGTGACCCCCTCTGGCGTCCTGTTCACTGTCCCTGCTACCAGGGTGATGACCGTGCCAGCCACTGCCATCTACTTCACAGCCTACGATCAGCTCAAGGCCTTCCTGCATCGGCGATCCCTGGCCTCCAACATCTGGGCGCCCATGGTGGCTGGCGCGCTAGCCCGCTGTGAGCAGACCCGGCCTATCCATTCCCTCACCTTTCCCCGCCTCTGCTACCTAAGGTTGGGCATAACAGAATGGGACCTGTGCCTGACCCTTCCCTGTCCCCCCAGTGGGCACTGTGACTGTGGTCAGCCCCCTGGAGCTCTTGCGGACCAAGCTGCAGGCCCGGCACGTGTCCTATGGCGAGCTCAGCGCTTGTATACGTACTGCTGTGGCGCAGGGTGGCTGGCGCTCACTGTGGCTGGGCTGGGGCCCCACCGCCCTCCGTGATGTGCCCTTCTCAGGTGGGGACGGAGACCCTGGAGAGTGAGGGATGTGGAGGGAGGCACTGGGTGATTGAGGGGACCTAGCCTTTCAGTAGCAGAGTCTGTGGCCAATCCTGGCTGTGTCCCAGCCGCTTCTTTGAGCCTGGGTCTGCTGGGGCCTGGACACTGCCCTGGGACAGTGTGGTGGTGGTGGCGTGCAAGCGCAGGCCACCAAGACCTGCCTCACGGGTTTGGCTGTCCAGCACTGTATTGGTTCAACTACGAGCTGCTGAGGAGCTGGCTATGCGGCCCCCATATCCAGGACCAGACGTCTGTGGGAGCCAGCTTTGTGGCTGGTGGCATCTCAGGGACTGTGAGTGACTGGGGGCCTGAGGGGAGAGGTACCCCCATGCAGCAAGGCACTGGGTGGCCTGGGAGCTGGGACAGAAAAGCTCCACCCCCATCCCTAGGTGGCTGCCGCCCTCACCTTGCCCTTCGATGTGGTGAAAACTCAGCGGCAGGTGGCACTGGGGACTGTAGAAGCTGTGAGAGGTGAGCTGGGGTGGGCGGGGGGTGGGGGGTGGGCGGGGTGTGAGGCAGGTCCCCCTGCACACCTCCTGTCCAACCCCAAACCCAACTGCAGTGAGACCACCCCGTGCTGACTCCACTTGGCTGCTGCTGCGGAGAATCCGGGCCCAGTCAGGCACTAGGGGCCTCTTTGCAGGTACTTGTGTGTTCCCGTGTTTGTGTTTGTGTGTGTATGTGTGTGTGTGTCCATCCGTGTGTGTCCATGGATACAGGTCTGTGTCCACGTTTCCCATCTGTGTCTGCACACGTGTCTGTCCTCATACACCTGGGCATATGCTCTGCCTTTCCCTGATCCTGCACTGCCCACCAGGCTTCCTCCCGAGGGTCATCAAGGCCGCGCCCTCCTGCGCCATCATGATCAGTACCTACGAGTTTGGCAAAAGCTTCTTCCAGAGGCTTAACCGGGAGCAGCGGCTGGGCCACTGAAGTTTGTGCTGAGTGCTGGGCCAGTGCCTTACCCGTTCCCGCGGGGTACCCTGTCCCTGTCGCCGGACTGAGGCCTTCCTACCACCCACACCCCCAAGCTCAAGACCAGTCTTCCCCACCCACCACCCCCTGCCAGCCCTGGTGTTTACTGCCCCAACACCTGTGTCCCGCTTGTTCAGTCTCTTGTCTAAAAGATGATGATGAACTTCTGTGTTGAGCCTGTGCTTCACCTTCCTGGGGAACAGCCAGCTCGGGGTGGGAAGGAACCCCTGTGGCAGTGACGGCCCAAGTGGCCCCGTGAAGAAGCCTTGTAGCAGGTGTTGTGGTGAATGCCTACCATCCCAGCACTCTGGGAGGCTGAAGCAGTAGGACTGCAAGTCGGAGCTCAGCCTGGGCAACTTAAAGAGGCTGACTGAGACCCCATTTCAGAAATGACAGACGCAGCGCTGTGTGTGCCCTTTGTTAGTCCCAGGCAGTATGCACATGAGCCCCCGCTTCTTAGGCAGCGTAGGGTTGGGGTGAGGACCTGGGCTTGGGGGACAGGTGAGCCCCCTGGCAGTGTGGTCTCATTGACTCAGCCCTGTGAGTCCTGAAGGGTCCTGAAGGAGGCCTCTTTCAGCTGTACCCTGGCCCAAGGGACAGGTTTGCAAAATGGGCTGTGGCTACCTCCTGTCCCTGGCAGGTTGTGTCCCCACTGCCCAGCATCAGGATAACTCCAGAGGCCCAGCCAGCCTGCCACATCGTCAGGGAACCACAGACCAGGCTGCCCTCTGTCCTCTGGTTTTTATTTGTTGGACCCTTGGCTCCCACGTGGGGCTGAGCAAGGCTGGTTCTGGGGTGCCAGGCAGACAGGACGCAGGCAACGGGCTGAGCGCTAGCTCCCAAGGGTGAATGGTGGATCAGCTGAGCGGCTGGCCAGGCCCCAGGGCCACCAGGAAGAGGAGTGGCTGCCTGGGGTCCCTGGTGCCCCTGGCCTCTGTTCCTCTTGAGGTGGAAAGCTGAGGCGACATGGTCTCCCCAGTGCCCCTTGCCAAGGCCAGTGGGCACCATTCTTGGGAGTGAGAGCTGCACAGGTGGTGCTTCCCGCACTCAGCTGGGGCTCAGGGCTGGGCTGCCCTCGGGGCTGTCGCTCACCAGGCATTCGTTGGACTTGAAGCTTGCCAGGGACTTGCAGCTGGGGATGGAGGCCAGGGAGCCGCAGAGGCCCAGCATGGAGGGTGTGGGGTCCTTCCCTGGGGAGAGAGCACAAGTGAGCCCCGCCCGGGCAGGTGGGCAGGGAGGGGCCGTCCTCAGCGCTGCTCTCCAGGCCGCGTGAGGTAGGGACACTATGCAGTCAGTCCATCTCCTGAGGCTCAGCCCTCTGCTCATTTATTAAATGCATGGGGAGCACGATTCCAATCCAGACATGGGGAACACAGCAGACACACAGTCCCTGCCCTCTTGGAGCTCACAGTCTCAGGGACAAACACACGGTCAATGAGCAGTGTGGCGGGTCCGTGCTCATGGCCTGCCTGGCCCCAGGAGGTGTAGGGTCATCCAGGGCAGCATGGTTATAAAAAGGAGCGTGAGGCTTGGGGACAGCTAGGGCAGGGAGGCTGGAGCAAGGGCAACAAGACGCATGCGCGTTAAGTGCCAAAAGCCTGCCTCTGATCAAAGCGGACCACTAGTGTGGCTCTGAGCTCCCTGACAGCTAAAGGAAAGGGGAAACAGGGTCAGGCAGGGTCACCATTAGAGCAGCTGGATGGGGCTGGGTGGCCGTGGGGAACACGTGTGGGGCTCACAGCTGCACAGCGGAAGGGCCACGCAGGGGATCACCGTGGGCTCTCTCCCACCAGGCCCGGGTGAGGCTCACCGATGGGGCCCCAGGGCTCCTCATCCCGCTTGCCCTCCCCCAGGCGCTGGGAACCGGAGCTTAGGCTGGCCTCGGCGGACAGTGGCTCGCTGTTCAGGAAGCTGTGTCTGTGGGGCGGGGGGAAAGGGTGCGGTGGGGCCAGCCCTTCTGGAGATCCCTCCCCCAGCTGCTGGCCCAACCAGCTGCGCTTGTGCTCACCTCCGGTAGAGCTTGGGGTTGCTAGGGCCCTCGGTGCCATTGAGCGTCCCCAGCGAGGGCCACTGGTTGACCAGGGGCGTGGTGAGCTCCTTGGATCCCTGAGCCAGGGGGCCATGGTCACCCGGGATCAGACCTGTCCTGGGAAGGGCATGGTGTGGGTGGACGGGCATGTGGGAGGGCAGGGGCTGGTGGAGCGCAAGGTCCCCGGGTGATGGTGTGAAGAAGGCAGGGGCCCTGGGGGCCCACGGGTGTGGGACGCTGGCCTGCGGCCGGGAGTCCTGAGGTGGCAGTATGGTGAGGGTGTCAAGAATGGTGTGGTTTGTGGGGCCCGGCCGAGGGCAGGGCTCACAGCTGCTCCTGTAGCTCCAGGATGACCCCCTCCAGCTCACGCTTCTCGCGCTGGTTCTGGGCTGCAGCCTCCTCCAGCTGCTGCTGTAGCCGCCGGTTCTCGGCCTCCAGGTCCTTCAGCTGCGACTCGCGCAGGCGCACCAGCTCCTCCAGGTAGCCCTGCGGGGCGGCAACTTGCGCTCAGTTCCTATGAATCCCCACTTCCCGCGGGCCATTTTCCAGGACTCCCACCTCCACCCCACTCCCCACCCCTCGCTTCCCGCGAGCCTCTCCACTGCGCTCACTTTCTGAGCATAGACGATGCGGAACTTCTGCTCCATCTTGTGCCACTTGCTGTACCAGCTGTCCTCATCGGTGACGAGAGGCAGGTAGGGGTGCTCTGGCGAGTTGTCCTCACTCGTGCTGCTCTCAGCACTGTGCCGCTCCTCGTCGTCAGTCAGATAGTCGTAGCTGGGAGGAGGGTGGGCCAGGTGTCAGGTCTGCGCCTCTAAAGCACCTCCCGTCCCCCTCACATCTGCTGGCGAGAGCTCACCTCTGGGTGAACTTCATGTAGGGCGTATAGTCGATGACCACAGGCGTCTTCCCGTCCAGGACCTCGCCCTTTAAGCAGAAGCTGGCAGGGGAGTGGCATGTTGGCAGGTGTGGAAGTGAGTCCCCCCTCCCCCTGCCGGCCCCTGCAGACCCACCTGAAATCAATGGCGCTCAGCCCGATCAGCATCCCTATGAGCACAGTGGCCTCTTCTCGCAGCATGATGGCCCCCGAGTCATAGAAGCGCCTGGGGGACAGGACGTGGGGCGCTGACCGGCAACCCCAGGCTTCTCCGTGCTGCTCCTCTTGCAGTAAATCTTGCCTGCCCCAGGACCGGCTCAGGCCGGTGGCTCGTGACCCTTGCCCACTACAACGGTATCCTCTTAATTACCCTCCTCAAGCTGGTCTGTAGCCTCAGGCAGCAAGACTGAGTCCTTAGTGCTGGGATGCAGTGGCACGCGGGAAATGAGGTGGGGACAGGGACAGGAGGCAGCCAGGACATCAGAATGGCCCTGGCCACGTGGGGAGGGGAACAGCTGTGCCAACGCTGTTAAGTTCCACCCACGACCCCGCCCCAGGAACCAACACCCCCGTGGGGACTCTGCTCTGGGAACAAGCACCGATTCCGGGCGTCCTGTGGAGGGCGAGGGCTACTGTGACCGTGGGGCGAGTCCACGAGTAGGGCACCTTGCAGGGCGTTTCCCGGAGTTCTAGGTGTGCATGGTGGGTCTGGGGGCGGGGGCCGCAGGGGATAAGGCGGGTGCGGGCTCAAGGCCCCAAGGTGATGGGGGAGCGGCGGCTGACCTGGTGGTGCGCGCGTCCCGCACAGCCGTGGTGATGTACTCCGACATGCGCTTCTCCATGAGGGCCACCCGGATCCACGCCCGGCCCTGGAAGGCACCAGCGCCCTCAGGCCCATGGGTCCCAGGGGCGGCGCCCCGCCCCACCGGCCAGTACCTCACCTTGGCCCGCGCCGTGCCGATGTTCTCCATGCTCTCGATGCTGCTCACACAGTTGTTAGGCACCTTGCTGCAGGCCAGACGGATGTAATCCCAGAAGCCGCGCTGCCCGTCCGAGCTGAACCAGCTGGCGGGCCCTGCTGGGGCACAGGCTGAGCCAGGGCACCAGCCGCTCAGCGGCGGGGCGGGGCGGGGCGGGGCGCAGCGCGCCCACCCGCCCCTGCGCATGCACGCGCCCCTCCCAACTCCAGGCCCGGGAAGGGTGCGCACGCGGGCACGAACCAGGCCCACCTTTGAAGCGGTGGCTCAGAATCTGCTCCAGGATGGCTGCGAAGTTAACAAATTCCTCGGAGGAGTCATCGATGGGCTCAGCCGTGTACTTCTCTAGAAGGGTTTTCACCGAGAACCTGGGGACAGGAATAGAGACTGCTATGGGTGAGGCCCTGGAACCAGGTCAGAGCACCGGGTGGTCTCAACAGAGAGGGGACTGGGGCAGAGGAGGGGTCACCAGAACAGGGATAAGGCAAGGATTCAGGAGACTGGGGACTTCGGACATGCCACCCCACATGGAGGGACAGGGCAGGTGGGCAAGGGTGACAGACTGATGGATACAGTTGGTGTCTGGAGAGGGGACAGGCAGAGAAAGGAAGATTGTGGTCAGGGTAGAGAGGGAATGAACTCTAAGCAGAAGGTGCTAGCTGTCCCCAGGCCACTCTCAGAATGGTGCCAGCCCAGGTGGAAGTCAGAACCTCGTGGACCCAGAAGCTGGCAGCTGCCTGTGCCAACGCTGCCTCTTCACGTTCCATTCCCGAGGAATGGGGTACCCTATGCCAGGGTATGAGCTGGCACTGGGCACATGGCATGTGGGCACATGTGGGTGGCCAGGTGGCCTTCGGCTCACAGTCATCTCTTTCCCGCTTTCCTCCCCAGCTCAGCTGCCCACATGCCAGCTGTCCAGAGCTGGACCTAAGCCCCAGGCAGGGAGGAGGTGGATCTGACATGGCAGAGGTGTTTGGAGGGCCCTCTGAAGGAAGGTCGTGGGGGTACACAAGTGGCGCCCGCCCTGACCCAGCCCAGGCCTCCTGCTCCCTCTGCAGTGGCCACCCCTGCAGTTTCTGCAGTTCTCTCTAACTGGGGTGGGCCATGGAGGGTACCCACTCTGGCCCTGTTGTGGTGCCTGGGATCTTGGTGCTGCCCTCTGTGTGTCAGCCCTGTGGCATACCCGACCCCGTGTGGTGTGTGTCCCCGTGTCCTCCTCTACTTCCACTTTTCAGAGCAGGAGACTGAGGGTCCCTGAGCATCTCTGAGGTCCTGCTACAGAGGTGGGTGCCATGGGGAAGGGTCTTCTGAGGCTCCCGAGGTCCCACCTTCCCTCTGGGCTCTGATGGGTCTGGCCTGAGCTGGCGGAGGGTGTGGCAGTTGGGGAGGTGCACACCCCAGCGGGGCAGGCAGGCAGAAGTGGAGGCTGTCCATTGGGGCTGGGCCTGGTTTTGAGGAGCTAGGCCACCTCAAGGAGTCTCATGCAGGGCATTATCGGGGTTCCACAATCCCTCAGTGATTTCATTGAGCCTGATGGGGCTGGGCATCAGGGAGGTTAGCTACCAACTGTCCTGGGGAGCCCCACTGGGTGCTCCCTGTTAGGAGATGCGCAGGCTGCTGCGGGTTACCATGGAGATGGGAGGCTAGGGCCCAGGGGAGCCGCGGCCTGCTAAAGGGAGCTGTTCTGGGAGCCAGCGGTGTGGAGAATCACGTGACATGATGAGGCGGCAGGGCCCCCGGGGTTTCTGGGCTTTGTCATATCCCCAACCCCCAAACTATGTCCCCCACCCCCAGCTCCAAGCCACTTCCGGTCCAGGGAGCCTCAGCTTCTCCAGCCCAGGCCTAAGTGAGTCCCCTCCCCGCACTCAGGAGGTCAAAGCCAGAGAGGGGCAGGAAGGTGTCATGGGGACAGGACTGGACTAGGCCCCTCTGCGCCGGGCCATGACTGCTCCTGGCCAAAGCTTTTATGGATAAAATGGATGTGATGAACGGTTGAGGCCCATGGTAATGAGATTTGCCCCACATCTCACAGCCAATAACCAAAAGCACCGCTAAAAACTATCACGTTGGTCCCCAGGCAGGGGCCTTCTGAAAGGGCTAGGGGCACAATTAGCTGGGTTTCACCAGCTCTCACGGTCGCATTCCAGGGCTGTGCACCCAGCACCCTGCCAGGCCCTGGGATGCAATGGCTGGGCAGACACCGTAAGGTTTCGATGTCCCCGGAAGCTGGCACGGGTTTTGGGAGGCAAGAGCCGGGAGCTGGGCCATCAGGTGGGCACCAGCTCCTGGGAGAAGGAACAGGGCTGAGGCAGGCGGACAGCTCAGCAGAGGGCAGCAGCCCTAGGACCAGGATCCCCCAGAGAAGGCCGCAGGCTCGGAGGGACTGGGCGGCCAGGCTCCCCGCCGCCTGGGAAAGGACAGGATCCTCGGGTCGCTGCAGGCGAGGATGTCGCGGCCTGGGTGGTCCACCCCGGGACCGTGGCTCTGCCCACCCCTTCACAGGGACGGCTGCCCAGCCCGCAGGCCCTGGCTCGCGCTGCGCGGAAGGACCCGGGCCCACGGGCGGCGAGCCCTCAAGGCGCGTCCCCGCGGTGTCACTTCCTGGTGTCGCAGGAAGCCAGGCGCGACCACCGCCGCAGCCCGGAGGCAGGCTAGGGGTCGGGGGAGTCGCGCCCGCGCACCTCCCCGTGCCGCCCCCAGTCCCGCGTCCCCTGCGTCGCCCCGGCCTGGCTCCCGCGCACCTGCACACGGTGATGAGGTTCCTGCGCTCCACCGCCACGTTGCGCGAGGACGCCTTTTTGGAGGAGAGCCCCAGCGCCATGGTGGTCGGGACTAG